GTTCATTGATCAGTTTATCAGCTGTTCTTTACTGTTATTGATACCGATCAATAAAATATTAATAATAAATCAAATATAGTCAATAACATAAAAAGATGGGAACCAGTTTAAATTTATTAGCTCATGAAAAATATATTTGATTTGAGTAACTCAAGTTTTTATTATTAAGGTAAATTAAGTTAATGGTACTAATTTCCCCTCCCTGCTTATAAAGGTTTCTGCTGTTGACTTCTACAGAAATAAACTGATGGCAGTCTGTAAGGAAGTAAATCTGAACCTTGATGGAGGAAACAGATCAGCAGGTTAAACTTGTGTGTTTGCAGGAGTCGTCACACTTTATAATCATTTGTATGTTAAATACTGATTCTGTTCTTTTCCTGTATTTATTACCTGTTTTCCTCGTGTCTCCCAATAAAGAATAGTTATTTTTACAACGAGTCCATCGACGTCTGTTCATGTGCTAAAGCTCAGGAAGGTGGCGCCGCCTGGTGACCAAACTGCAAACTACAAGAAAGACAAAAGCTTTATGTTTCTCCGTCTGCTCTTCTAGTTCTGATTATTATTTAAAAATGAGAACAACAGATTTAACTTTACACTTTTTTACATTTCTGGTCCTGATATGATATGAACTGGTATATGAGATAAATGATCAACAAGGAAGACATATGAAACATGACAAGGGAACACAAATACTGACAGCAACACACAACAACAACAACAACAATGACCAAAACAAATTAAGAACATGAAAAGAAACAAAATAAAACAAAAGTAGGCAACCTGAAGTACAGATATGAAAACAGATATGAAAGGATGAGAATATGAACACATTTAGGGAGAAATATCCTCCTGTACATTTATTAAATATATTATTTAAATATTTACAGCTCAAGAGCTTCATAAGATCTAACCAACCATAATTCGTCCTTGTTGGAGGTTTTTATTGAAAATAAATCATATTGGAAATATAAAATGTGTTAAATGTGAGATCATTAGAATATAAAAATGAGGAAACTTTAAGATTGGATAAGATTATTATTATTATTATTATTATTATAAGTATTGTTATTATTATTGTTATTATTATTATCTTTGTATACATAAAATATAGAAATAATATATAAAATATATAGCATTAATATGGAAACCTCAGCAGACAGTATCAAGTTCTACCTTTATTTATAAATTTAATAATATTGATTTTATTGTTATTATATCCGGGGAGAGCACGCGCTTTAATCTGAATCTACTTCCGCTCTCTAACGCCGTTGCCATGGAGACGGAACACAAACACGAAGCAGCGGCAACCGGATAAAGTTGTTTCCTCTCGGTTTCCACAGGTGAGTCACAAATAACGGATCAATAACGGAGCTGTTTTATTTTCCACAGAGCCGTTAAATGTCTGAGTCACGTTCAATGTTTGATTAAACCTTTAATTTACCGCCAGTGAACGTTAACGTCCGTTATCTCCCGTTAACGTTATCATCAGTCTGCAGTACGGAAGCCCTCCGCTGCCAATATTAAACAAACATATATTACTGCATTTAAAGAGTAACGTGGTGCAAGAAGTATTCAGATCTTTAGACTGCCACAGTTACATAATCAATGTCATTCATATATTTAGTTATAAATATATATTTTCTTTAACAAAAAAAACTGTTTTATAGCTTTAATTTAAAATGTTTGTGTTTTTGTCTGTGTTGTTTATTTGTTTGTTTTAAAGGGAACAACAAGGGAAGAAAGAAACAGGCTTTTATTTTCTTAATCTGTGACTTTTATTCCCCTTAAAGCTAAAACCTGGTCTGTGGTCTGATGTGCATCAACTGGAAGTCTGAAATCAAACTAAGACTGTGTTTCTTTAGCAGCGGAGCGAGGAAGAGGAGGAGATCATGCCGAAGAAAGCAAAGAAAGGTGGAGGAGGGAAAGGCGTCGGGAAGACGGAGGAGGAGAGGCTGTTGTACCTGCAGCAGAGAGCTCAGGCCGAGGAGGAGCTGGCCCAGAAGAAGGAGGAGATCCTCACACTGTTCCTGAAGGCAACTCTCTTTAATGTTACATAAACTTTAACTACAAACACAACCGGTGTCTGGTGTCAGCGAGTCGCTCTGCTGTCTGTCTGAACTCAGGACAAGTTGCAGAAGGAGGAGAAGAACAGCGCGGTGAACCTGCTGAAGCTGAACGAAGGCTGGCGGTCCATCCTCCGCCAGACTCGAGCCGCCGAGCTGCGTAAAGACATCGCGGTGCTCGGTCAGACGTTTGAGAGGCACCTGGACGGCCTGGACAGCGTCATCAAGGTGAGCCGCCTGTTCCTTCCTTCACGCCGCACGGTCACGTAATGAGTGTGTCACTTCCTGTTTGTGTTTGTGTGGCAGAATCTGGAGCACGACCTGCAGGAGGCGGAGCTTCAGTCGGCGCGGGTGCGACGGATTCACCTGCAGCACCTGGAGCGTCTGTGGGCGCAGCAGCACAAACGCCTGACGTTCGTACAGCAACAGTGGGAGGACAGCCTGCAGCTCCTCGGCTCCACGTTCCACTCTGAGAGGTCAGTGTGACAC